AATGACCTTACCTGATCCTTATTCCCTCCCAAACGCTTCGCCTCTCAATATCATAGGCTGAGTTTCTTAATCCCCCTCAGTGGAGATTAAATTTTCACCTGGGTTTCTGGAGGGGATACACCAAGTATTCAAAACAGCAGGCTGTTCACACTGTATGTTGAAGGGTCAGAGCACTCCCAGGCCCGCACCTTCTCCCTGCAAGAGCCGGAAACTCCTGGCTGGGCTGAAGCACCCAGGAACTCTTAATCAAGCAGCACCAGGAGAGCACCTGTTAGCTATTAAAGGCTGGGGTGGGACCACTGGGGCCAGAGCAGAGGGGGGAGTTGATTGCAGGAATGGGCTTCAAGGGTTCTCAGGAGTAGGAAAACCTCAGGAGCAAACCCCAGAGGGGTGGGGAGTCAGAAGGAAGGGAGAGCTTTAACTCAGCTCCACCCCCAGTGTGAATCCCAAATGCAACCCCGCAGCACTCTCTGCAGGAGAATCTGTTGGGCGGTGACTGCACACTGCCGGGGCTGATGGCAACGGAGAGGAAAGACACACAGGATAGTCTAGACATGGGTGCTTCTACCTGGAAGCCCCCACCAGCACAGCCTGCCCCTAGCACATGGATCTGCTTCTGCAGTCTCCTAGAAGCAAGCCGGCTCCTCCAGGGTTGCAGAGGTGTCTTTGGGATACTGAGTGCTTGATCGGTGCTTGGCACGTCTAAGGTCCTTAACAAATACCTGTCAAATGATCCAGTGAATGAAATCAAAGTACAAGGAGCAAGTCATCAGAGAATAAGGTGCCTCGCCACACTTCCCAAACTGGCTTTCCCCCAGCACAGGGCAAATGAGCGTGGGTATCAATGCTCACTGCAAAAAGCAACCTGGGAGGTTTTGTGTACACAGAGGAGCCTTTTTCATGGAGTGCCAAGAAAAGGACAGTGAGGGACACCACACAATGGCTGGGTCAGCAAGACCTAAAATGACCCCAAAACTCCCAATAGAGGGACATGATGCACCACCTGTCAGAGGTCTGATGGCCTCTCAGATCAAAATGAGAGTCAGGGACCACCCTCCCCCGGATGGGTGAGCTTTCTCCCTGAGATGAGCGCCTCAAGGTACCAAGGGGACCTGTGTCCAGTCACATAGCTGGGCTGGTGGCACAAGCTGGACCAGAACCCAGGTCCCTTGACTCCCAGTCCAGAGCTCTTTTCCAAAAGGTCAGGTGCGTGGAGTACAAGAGTTAAGAGAAGGCCAAAAGACTCACCCAGGAAGGCCAAAGACATCGGATGCCATGTTTTTTAAAAAAAAATAGATAAATAAGTAAAAATTAATGCAAAAATGTCCATGATGAGCAAAGTATCAAATTTTAAATGAAAGATTAAATGAGGTCACACTCTCGTGTACCCCAACCTCACCTCTCCATCCTGATCCCAGCTGGGACCAAGAGTCCCAGGGTGACCACAGACGAGTCCTGGATCGGTGGAAATCCATGGGAAGATGACTCTCGGCAGAGGGACAGAGTTTAAAGGATCAGAAAGGGGACAGAGTGCCCAGAGCAGACTATAGAAGGAAGAGTGACTATAGAAGGAAGAGTGACTATAGAAGGAAGAGCAAGACAAGGTCCTCCACCCCCTCTCACTCCACTTGACTCAGAGACCAGCACTTTCTTTCCAAAAAGCGGCACCCCCCACACCCCAGAAGCTCCCTGCCAGGACGCTAACTCTGAACGAGGACCACGGCCCCCTCCACCCCGTCCACAGACTCCCCCCAACTCCAATCAAATCTAAGCCTTTTCATCTCAAGGGGGGGTGAATTTAAAAAAAAAATAGGCTGCTGTGGAAAAACAACGCAGGCCCTTCTGACTTGCCGACAGCTCTTACGGATGAGAAGGGGAACTATCCTCACTGCTGACAGCAACTGCCTTTTAAGGTGTGTCCTCCAGCCAGGACACCACGTCGCCTCCTGCCCCAGTATTCCCAGCAGCTCGCTGTCAGTGTGAGCTGGGCACTCGGGCCAGACAGGCCTTCACTGGGATGCCGCTGGCCACCTACCTTGTGATGACAGGTCATCAACTCTAGCTTCCAGGGGCCTGGTGGTGACTTAAATGACATGATGTGGCTGACTGGCAAACCACCGGACAGGCAACAGGGGCTCGCCACCCACCATCAGCACGCGGCTCAGGTAAAGATTGTCAGCCAGACCTCCCAGGGTTTCAAAAGTAAAAAATGTTATGTGAAATCTGATTTTTAAAGGTTAGCAATTAATTCTTAAAAGTTTTTTTATTTTTTTATTTACCCAATAGAGACAACTAGAACCGGTCTGTGTGCCAGAGCCCACAGTGTGTGACTCCGTGTGTGACTCCGACATCCACCAATCACCCAATGGCCACCCGGCCCTGAGGAGGGGCTGGGCACCGATGTTCCCGTCTTTTCAGAAAGCCGTCGTCCCAGGCATCGTCGACGTCCACTCCCAGGCGACAGCTTGGCAACGGACGCTTCTCAGGAGGGAAATGAAGATATGAAGAGCTGAAAATCTGGAAGGCTTCAAGGGAGGGAGGAATGGCAAAGAGGGAATTCCTTAAAAGGATTTAGGAGGATTTTATTGGACACTGTTTAGCACAGTCAGGGATAAGATCAGGCAGTGACTGAACTGCGGAGCATGTGAGTCCGTGTGTACTTGGGGGTGGAAGGTGGGCACCATTCCTACTGATGGTCGCCACAGGGTGGCCAGCCTTCTGTCTGCATGTCACCCCAACGTCTGACTCATGTGCATGACTTCTGATAGGCCCAATCCCTGGGGACAGCCCCTCTCGAGAGGTGGCCACAAGTTCCCACTAATCCTACACAAAGGGCAGATCCTGGAGCCCTGGGATGACTCCAAAAGCTCATGTGGACTCTGAAGTCAGCCGCAGTGGGGTTGGGGCCCAAGTATTCGATATTAGTGGTTCTCAAAGTATGATGCCCAGACAGTCACCAGGAGTTTGCAGGAAGGAGCCCAAACCCACTGAATCAGAAACTCGCGGGGAAGGGCCAACCATTTGGTTTTGAACAAACCCTCCAGAGAATTCAGATGCATAATAAGGTTTTGAGATCCTCTGCTCATGTCTTGTTCCTGTGACCTTCTCAGAGGACAGTGGTCCGACTCTCAGAGAGAATTGCTCTGGGTTCCTCCAACAAGGACCTCAGAGGCTTCTCTGCATGTGCCTAGCAGTGAGGAAGGAGCTGAAAGGAGAGAGTCCGGTCTTTGCCCTGATGCAGTCTGTCACTCAGCAGGGAGACAGACAATGAGCAAGTGAGAAAGAGAGAAGCACCTGACAGTTCTCAGGTGGGCACAGAAGGCAGGGCCTGATGCACCTGAGAGCTCAGGGTGCTGTCCGTGGGCAGGGCTGGGACCCCTCCAGCTCTCCCAGTGGCCTCCCTGTTCTTCACACACCTCCCTCTTCTGTCCACAGGCCATTTCTTTTCTAGTTCTGTGCACTTAGCAAGGTCTCCTCTTAGATCTTCCAAAGATGGGCTCCTTCTCCTTGCTCAGGACCTGAGGGCACAGTCACTCCTCAGAGAGCCCTCCCTCTTTATTTTATCTAAAGCAGTCTCTGCAGTCCCCGGCCCCCACAGATGGAAACTGAACAGCTTCAACATTCCCAACTCTTGCCTCTTCCCCAGTGGAAGGCGGGTTCTCGGGCCAACTCCTCCCCTGTCCTGACTGGCTGTCTCTAGGCCACAGAACACATCCATCCCATAGACTGTCCTGAGTTCCCCCAACCATTGCTGAGCAGCGCGGAAGCCAAGGTTGGCTGAGTGAGCCTGCAGCCAAAGCTTACTGTGTAGGGCTAATGCCAACCCTCCTCCTCTAAGGGAAGCCCCAGAAAGAGCAGTCACCCCCAACTCTCCAACGTGCGTTGTGCACTCCTTTCTGGGTTCTCTGGTGGTAAAGACAGAAAGAAAATGAGGAAAGTGCTACATAAGGGACCCTAAAAGCTGGCTCTAAGAGTGGCACACTCTCCTCGGACAGAGCCCTTCAACCCAACCCCAGCGACTGTGTGCACTCCTACAAATTCCTGTGCCTGTGCAGGACCCCAAAACTCCAGGTCCCTGTCCAGGCACCCGTGCAGGCCTGGGAGTGCCGGCTGCATCATATGGGTCTCCCAGGGGCAAGTAAGACCTAAAGGAAAAGGAACCTGGCATGACACATGCCATCACTAAGAGGATGCGGTGAAGCGCATGCAAAGGGATGCAAAGACAGGAGAGATCCAAGGGCAACCGAGGAAATGGCACAGGATATGGAGCCCGTGGCTCCCAAGTAGAAGCTTGCCTAGATCGCAGAGTGTGCGGCTCCAGAACCATGGTACTGATGGACACCGGGACAGGGGAGCAAGGAGCCCAAGGACAGTGGTGCCCCAGGACCTCCAGAGAAAGGCAGATTTGGAGCCTGGGGCTCCAGGATGTGGAAGCGCGTCCGGAATGCGGGCCCCAGGGCAGCCTGAGGCCAAGGCTTCAAGTACGTGGCACGCGCAGACCCCAGGGCAGTGGTGCAAGAGACCCTGTGCCGCTGGTGCCCTTGAACCGCCTGGGAAAGCACGTGACGTGGCGCGCGACCCCAGGAGGTTGCCGAGCAGCCTGGTGCGTGCAGCCTCCAAGAAGCGGAATTCGGGGCCGTAAAAGCTGAAGGCCGGCAGGGAGGGGATGCGTGAAGCAGCAAGGGAAAGGGGACAGCGGTGGCGGGGGACACAGCTCGCGCCGTCCCGGGCCAGGCGGGAACGTGCCACACAGCGCGCGACCCCCGCAAGAGCGTCAGGCCCCCGATCGGAGGCAGCGGCGGCGACCTGGGCGCCCGGCCGCGCGGTGCGACCGTCGCGCTGCCTCCGTCCCAGCAGCGGGGCGAGGCCGGGCGCCGAGCTCCTGCCGCCCGCCCACTCTCCCCGCCCCGCGCGCAGTCCCCTCCCTCGTCCCGCCTCCTGCCCCGCTCCCTCCCTCGGCGGCCGCAGCGCCGCGCTCCCGGCGCACTCGGAGCCCGGCGGGGACCAGGAGGCGGAGGCGGGGTGGCCCTGGGTCCGAGAGCAGGAGTCGAGCCGGGCCCCGGGGCCGAAGTTTGGCCGCGGCTCCGGGAGGCAGAGCGGGCGCCCCCGGCGGCCTCCAGCCCCCTTTCGCATCCTCGTCCCGAGCCCGCTGGCCCCGGGGACGGCAGCCGTGACCCGGCCAACTCCTAGGCGGGGACGCCGCGACGGGAACTTGAGGTGGGAACTTTGCGCGCTGCAGCCTCGCCGGACGCTGCGGCGCTGAGGGCAGGACCCCGCTCCGCCACGCTGCGGCTTGGGGGCGCTGCACGTGGTGGTGGCCCCACACTCTCCTGCGGGGGCCTCGAAACCGGCCGGGAGGGAGGCTGGGGCGACCGAGGGCCAGCGAGCTGCCACGGGCGGCGGCGTGGAGCGCGCTTCGCCACGGCTGCGGTGCGGGTCCAGCTCCGGCTGCAACCCAGGGGTCCCCCGGATGCAAAGTGCGGGACGTTCTTCGCCAGCGTGACCCGGCGTGGGGTGGGGGCGCTCATCCTGAGACAGAGGTTTCTTGCAGCCTCGCCCGATCCCGGGAAGTGGGAGAGTTGGGATGGAGGGGGGCGTCTGTCGCTGCTTCATTCACTCCATCTATAAGCACCGAATGGAGCACCCTCACCGGTGGGCCTTATTGATTCATTCATTAATGAGCTCAATGAGCGATTATTGAGCGCCTACTGTGTGCTGGGCGCTGAGGATAGCGAGATAGTAGTTCACAGGAAGCCCGAGAATGTGGGATAGGGAAGGTCTCCTCAGCCTCTGGAGCTCCATACTGGAGAGGGGCTCAGCCTGCAGGATTGGGGAAGGTGGAGTTCATTCATTCCATCAGGGAGTGTTCAAAGATTGTTCAAAGATTGGCTGAGCCATTATTGTGGGCAGCCACCATGCCAAGAGCACAACATTGGTTCAGTCAGTCAGTAAACACGTACTGAGATCCTGTGCTGAGGAGAGAATGGAGAGGGATGGCGTGGGGAACGGATAGGTGGGAGCAGCCTTCCTGCAGCTAAGAGTAGAAGGGAAGTCACCTGCTGGGTGACCAGCTGCAGCAGCCCATGTTTACAGGTAGAAATGGGGTTCATCAAATGCATTCATTCTCAATGGGGGTGGGGGAATGGGGGTGGCGTCCAGTGGGTTCTTGGAAAAGAAGAAAAAGTCTTTGAAAAGCTCCTTAAGGGGGGGTGATGATGGGGTTCGGGGGTGGGAAATGCTGGGCTCATGTAGCTCATGGTAAATGCAGGCGGCCACCAGTGGGGTTTGTTGGTCAAGCTGTGTATTCAGCAGGCATCTTCTTAAGTACTTGCTATTCTTAAGCACTTAAAGGGTCCAGAGTCACTCAGGTGGATGGCAGGAGGGAGACAGACACATAGACATCCACTTTGCTGACACCCTGAGCTCTGGGGTGGGGGTGTTAGGAGGGAGGAGCTCCTGCCTTATGAATCTGAGCAAGGTTTTCCCCTAGGGTGTACTTGATACCCCCACACAGTCACTATGGGGAGCCTCACCACCATCGCCTCGAATTTAAGATTGGCACTGCTGGGGATTGGGGCTCGTGGCCAGGACATGTCCTCTTTCTGTAGGACCAGAGCCTCTGCCTGTGTCTTCTGACTTCTGATTTTTTTGGTGCTTTACAAAGGTACCTGCAGAGTGGAAAGGGAGGGAAGGTGTGTGTAAGTCAGGTGAGCTATTATCTCTGGGGATTGGTCTTATCCGTCATGCTCTGAGCCAGCCTGTTCCAGTGGAAAGATGCCTACCCAGGGACACACTCCAAACCCACAGGGAGCTGTGCGAGCACTGGAAACAGAAAACCTTGATTCTTCTCCTAAGGCTTGGGAAGCCAGGCTGTGGGCACCCTGGAGCCTGGTGGTGGCAGGTCCAGGAGCCACTTTGAACCTCACACACAGCTGGGCTCTGGCCAGAGGTAAGAGCTGCCCCAGGGAACAAAAGAGCAGAGATGTGTCCTGAATACAGGAGGTTAGTGACTCACACCACATCTGGGACTTCAGCCCCAGGACCCCCTGTTCAGTGTCTTGACCAGGGTGTCCCTTCTTTCCACCCCTTTCCTCATATTTGATAGCGTTATTATTCTGGTTGCCAGAGGTGTAGGGAATTTGAGAATCCAGTCTTGGTTGATTCATTAAACCCAGAAATGGAGCCCTCGGGTGGAAAATGGCGGCTGATAAGCCCCTCTAAACAGAATTAATAAGAAGCCAGAGGCAAGATCTGTCAGCAAGCACTCAATCACTGTTGGCCATTTTTATTATCTAGCAGATTGTACTTGATGAACAAAATCAGCACATGAAGTGCATTTGCTACAGACAGGATGTGACTTATGCCTACGATTGTCCCCTGCCCTGTGGTGACTTTTGTCTCACGCCTGCAACTCCCCTGAGGAATCATGCAAGCAGGTATCTCCCTACCTGATGTCCCAAGGTCCCCAAGTCTGCTCCTTTGCTCAGGCCTCTCTACCCAAATTTCCCGCTGCAAAGACACAAATAGAAAAGGTGTTCTTACACGGGCCCCCAACACATCCCGGTAGAAAACAGACGTGTGTGTGGTGTTATTCTGCCAGCAGCAGAGCCCGGCTGCTCCAGAGGCAGCCTGGGTTTTTAACTGGAGACTCTGGCACTTTTTTTGCTCTGGAGTCAAGTGAGGGATTGAGAGAAGAGCCCGGTTCCCAGCACATAATCTCCCCAGGGATGGGGACCCCAGCTCAGAGGAAGCAAGGCCTGAGATGCTTGGATTGTGACAAGGATGAACAGCAGGTGGCTGAGAAATAATCCCCATGCAGCATGGCGTCTCTCGGAGGTCCGACATGCCAGGACGGGGCCAAGCTCGGGCTGGATCTGTTTTGATTAATGGTTTAATTGGGGATGAATGTAGCATGACCCACCTCTGAGTCAGCCCAGCCAGGAGCCCTAATCCTAACAGATGGAGCTGCGCTGGCAGCAGCACACACGGGGAGCGGGGAAGAGCAGCGGGGGGAGAGACTGAAGGGGTCCCTACGACCCTCCCAGAATTAGGGAAAGGTGCAGGTTCAGAAGCTGGAGTGAGAGGGAGAGAGTGAGACCCCAGGAGCTGAGGGCGGGAATCTTCTTTAGGAAAGCCACCTCAGGGGTGTGTTCCCGGGTTATGGGTTGGCACAAACCTAGTGGCTTCAAGCATCACAGATTCAGCATCTTGTAGTTTGGGGAGGTCAGAAGTCCAAAATGGTCCTCAGTGGGCGGAAAACAGAGAGTCCTCAGAGAAGCAGCCAAGCTGGCCTTGCCCAGCGCGGAGAGGCCGCCTGCGTTCATTGGCCCATGGCCTGCAGCACGCCATCTCTGCCCCGCTCTCTTCTTTCCAGAAGCCAAAACGGCAGTCCAGAGTGGACACATGCAGAGATTCTGCCGGTCGCCTGCTCTGCCCTAATGCAAACACAAAATAGGAATGAAGACGTTTGCCCAGCCACAAGCAATGGCCTGCGTTTTCCCATCTCTACAGACTTTCCAAAAGCTCATCCATAGAAATAGAGGCACCCTGTCCCGGGCTTGCTGAAGGTGGCAGAGACACCACCCCTCCATTCCCATGAGAAGCCAGTAGTCTGAGAACGCAGAAGACTACAGGCCAGGCCAGGCACAGTGGTGCAGGATTGTGATTCCAGCTACTTGGGAGGCAGAGGCAGGAGGATCACATGTTCCAGACCAGTCTGGGCAAATCAGAGAGACCCTCACAGTAAAAATTTTAAGAAGGGCTGGGGCCAAAGCTCCGTGATAGAGTGCTTGCCTAGTGTGCACGAGGCCCTGGATTCCAGCCTCAGTAACACCAAAACAAAGATTGGCTTGGAGTTCAGCTCTAGGTTCGTCACTTATCACCTCCATTTCCTCATCTGAAAAATGGGAGCATTCGTGATAAAATCTCCCCTTTAGGAAAAGTCAGGGATTCGTGCAATTAAGTCTCCCAACACAGTGCCTGGCCCTGCGGATGCAGCCAAGGGAGGCCCGTGCTGCTGTGGATGGCACTGTGCGTGTGGCACTCTCCGCGTGGCGCTGGCACTCAGAAGAGGGGCAGAGAACTCCCTGGAAAGGATGAGCATGACAAAAGAGCAGAGGCCAGAGAGGCCAGCGGGTCTGGAAGCCATGGAGAGAGACCCAAGAGGGCTGCAGCAGGTGGGCTCAGCACCTGTCCTTGTGGAAGGTGGCCATGAGATGGGAGGTCAGGTGCTGCTGCTCATCCCTGAGCAAAGCTGCATTCACCAGACCCTCCTCACAGCCCTGCAAGGGGGCACCCAGCCTCACTCTGTAGGGAGGGAAAAGGCTCCAAGGGGCCAGTGCCCCTGGGAGTGGGTGGCTGGCTCAGGGAGCAGCAGCCATGGCTACCTCTGTTCCATGCTGTTCCCCCGACCCAAACCCACCCCCCAGGCACTGGGCCCTCAGTCGTGTGCGGAGCTCCTGGGGGACTGCCTCTCAGAAAGCCTTATGCTTTCAGTGATCATTCGTCTTCGGCAATGTGTGCCCCGCCTCCTCCGCAGCTTGTGAGCCCATCATTCTTCCAAGAAGGACAGGAAATGGCATAGGGAGTGCCTGCCGGTGGATCTCTGGCCTCTGGGAGGAGAATTTGGTCAAGGTGACCCCAGTGCTGAAGTTTCTAGCAAACCCAAAGAGCCTTCCAGAACTCCCAGGGGATTGAGCAGCTGGGCAGGGGTGCAGGGGGCAGGTGCTCCTCCCAGTCCAGAGCAGCCTCTGCCCCTGCAGCCCCGGGCCTCCAGGCTGTCTTCTGAGGGAACTTTAGTGCAATTGAAACCGCTAACAAAAATGCCACTTCCTGGGCCTCCCCTTCGGGCATGCTGACTGAGGAGGTCTAAGAAAGACCCCAGGGCATTCCAGAAGCTGGGGGCTTGGTAAATTTCCTGCTTCTCATTTTTGTGTTTGAACCCAGTTCACCCCAAGTTGTGGGGGCTGCCTGTCTGTCCCCAGCTCTTCCTCCTTGGCCTGGCCACCCTGTCCTGCTTCACTCATTTTTCTCCTTGTTCCAAACCCCAGGTTCATCCCCTTCCCCTGCCCTTCCGGGCACCCTCCATGTGGTTGACAGGGATCCTCAAATGTGCTTGAGTCTTCGCAAAATATGTAATGTGTGTGCATTCATTTACATAAATAGCATAGTGCTGTGAACTTCTGTTTCTCTCTCCACTGGCTTCCATGTTTTTAAGA